TTCCTTGGTAACTTTTGTTTGCTATCAGCTGATGTTTTATTTCAATTTTTGTTTGTTTGTTTTTTTTTTTAATAAATCATTGCTAGGTTAGTTCTAATTTTTTTGCCAGCATCGTTCCCGTGAGGCTTTTTATCCAACTTCAACCAAATACTGTGTCTGTAGATTGCTGTTATTTCACTCAATAAAAAAAAAAAATTATTCTACCCCCCCCCCCCCCCCCCCCCATTTTTTTGCAAGCACTTATTCTCCCCCCCCCAGCTCATTTTTCTAGCTCCATCACCCTCTCCCTTCAACTCATTTTTCTATCGATTTTATCATTTTTTTTTATAGCATGTCTTGCTCCCCTACCACCATTTTTTCGGGGTTATAGATATCTTAGCGGCCTCTAGACCCGTAACTCCAGTCACGGGCATTTCGCTATTTTCACAATGAACACCCAAAAATTCCATTTGACTAGAGTGCCTTTTTAGGGAGAGTATGGACAACTCGCTTCATGTAGCTCTTGGGGCCCAAAAAGGCGACAACGTGAAAAACGAAAGTTACTAGAAAAGTGCAACTGCCAACCTACGCATTTGAAAGATAAATCAATAGAGTCGACATTGCATTGTAAACGAGCGTTTTTAAGGATTAAGACTTGGAAACTTAGAAAATGGATACAAAATCAAAGTTTTATACGCGCTTTTATAATTTTTGATCAGTGTACCTACTCTTGGAGTTTGAATTAGTACCACTGGATAATGCGAGTTCATAGGCTGGCTGCATTTTTGGGCCCTACCCCTAAGAGCTACATGACCTGATCAAACCTAACCTCCAACTTTTCGAGTTGTACATTCTCTCCCTATGAAGGTACTCTACCTTTGACCACTTGGCAGCATTTCAACGTTCGAGGAAGAAAAACAAGTTTTCCAAGAAATTACCAGTACCCTATTAGTGCTAAAATAATTTTTTTCATGGTTGGTATGCCTTCATAATGACGTAAGCCATCCAGAAAATACAGGGTGTCCCAAAAGTCCGTACCCCCCTCGTAACTTTCGAACGGTTAGAGATAGAAAAACGAAACTTCGGGAATGTTTCTATCTTAATGACGACCACCTATTAGAGGGGGTCAAAATTATTGTCCCCCTCAGTGGGGGCGCGGGGGCCCCCAACTTTTTTTTTTCAAAACCATCTTCCAGGGGGGTCAAAATTTTTGTCCCCTCGCAACTTCTTTTTTCAAATGGTAACCCCTATCTTGTGATGCATCATTAGAAAGAGCATAAAAAACTATGAATTTTGGCGAAAATCGTACATCAATATCTTAATTAATGACCCAGTTATGATAGGTCGAAGGTAAAATTTGACCTATTTTCAAAAAATCATAACTGCGGTTCAAATTATCGTAAAGAATAAAATAAAACGGGAACATTTACCAAATTGTAAGCACTTTTAAGTAAAAATCAAGGAGATTACTGTAAACTTCAACCTAACTTTCACTCATAACTTCACAATCTGCGTAAGAAATTTGCGTTATTTTGAGCTTCCCGCTTCAAAAACGATACTACTGCACAGGTGAACATTTTGTTAGAGGAGTCGCTCCATCGTCGGCAATATTCATCATGGCCGACGCTTGCGCAGTTCCTCGCGTAATTCGAGGAGAGTTCAAGGTCAATTAAGGCGGGCGAGGAAAATATGAACGTAAACACGCCGATTGTTATTAGTCCAGGCAAACAAGGAAAAGAGCCTGCAAAAATCCCGGGTAGCAATGTTTTCATCGATTCCTAAGTAATTTTTGACGCTGAATCCGAATTTCAACTTTGCGCCATTAAATTCGGACCGGAAAGTTGCCAAATTTGGCAAAAATGGCCTAAAATCGGACTTTTTTTCCGGATTATGGCCTGTAACTTGCCAAAAATAGATCTGACGATACAATTAGTTATTTTCAGAAATACAGCTCGTTAAATTTCCTAAAAAAAAGTTCCTATAAACTTTTTTGCTCAATGCAAAATCAAGCGCGCTGGCGGGCTCCGAACTTTGTAAAATGTGCGAAAATTGCGCATACTGTAATGTGTTGGATTATCCTTATTATTTACATCAATTCATTGCACTAAGTGTAAATTTTATCATCTTCACTTAATTTGTCCAGAAATTACTCGTCGGACGATTAAAACAGGAGGCATCGGGCAAAAACCGCGAAAAACACAATTTTTGCTCATTTTTCAAAGTTCGGAGCCCGCCAGCGCGCTTGATTTTGCATTGAGCAAAAAAGT